ATCATCTGCATACAAAAAATTTTAGCAAAAAAGTAAAGGGGGTGGTTACGTTTAGTAGTTTAGAAGGGTAGGTTGAAAGTACAAATAGGGTCAAAACGTGCCCTATTATGAGTTAAACATATTCCCCAAATTTCATTTTCCTAGCGTTTATGGTTTTTGAGAAAAAAAAATTAAACCAAAATTTTCCGCCATTTTTGAACCCTGTATACAGGGTAAGTCAGAAAGAATGGGAAATCCGAATACCGGAGACACTAGAGTGGTTTTTAATACACAGGGTGTTGAAAGTTAAATTTTTATTTCGAAATTTCTTGATAATTTTGAAGGTTTTTGTACTATTAACATAAACTTTGGTAGTTAGATGTTTTCGAGCATGAGAAATACGAATTTGATATTTGTTTTGTGATTACTCGTAGAGGGCGCTAGATATACACTGTATGTTTGAAATATCAAGTCATTCTTGCTTACATTGTCTAAGTCTACTGGTTTCCAAGTTATCTGCTTTTAATTGTTTCAACGTAATTTTAAGGTTAACATTTAAAATCAATAACACACAGTAACTATAGCAATTAGTAACGATAATAATCGATAACAATAACAATTGATTAATAACAATAGAATATTGTGACCATTTTCAAAAATCTATATATATATATATAATCTATATATATCTATATATATCTATATATAATCTATATTATCTATCTAGATTTTATATATATATATATATATATATATATATATAGATTATATATATATATATATATATGTATTTATCGTATTTCGACTTACGCGATTTTCGACATACGCGGCTACTGTCAGTCCCACCTATCGCGTAACTACGGGGTATTACTGTAAAATGGAAACAGTTTAATATTTTAAAAGCAGTCGAAGGGATTATCAATGATTTGGTTCAATACGCAGAAGAGGTACATTTTGAAGGGATGGAGGTAAACGACATTGAAGACATAATTTTAAATCAAGATGAAGAAGAAATTACATGCGATGACTTACTACAAAATTTTACTGCTGCAACTGAAGATGTTACTGAGCATTCAGACACAGAAGACATTACAAAAATTACAAATCAAAAATTAGCAGAAGCGTTTTCATTTATCGACAAAGTTGTCGAGATTTTTATTAACCACGATAAGGGCGAAAATCAGAGAACTATAATGAATGCTGTCGCCAAAGCTGTTCAGTGCTACAATGACCTGTACACTTCACGCAAAATGACTGCAAGACAGCAAACTTTGGATGATTTTTTAAAAACATAAAAATCTTATTAAATATTTTTATTGTTAGGAATTGAGGCAGTAAGAAGCAAACGGGTGTAAGTGACCTTTTTTAGACAAATGAGTTATGTGCATAGACTCATTCCTGAAGTAATTATTTATTTGGTGGCAAAGGAATTTAAAATCAAATTCGCTACCGAAGGCGGCATCTATGCATTGATAGAAAAAATACTGAATGAAGTCTCTCAATTGTTTGGAAGCAATGGGATATATGAGCACTTATATCCCTCTGCCTCCAAACGTCACCGTTCATAATAATTTAGACAGTTAAACTGTGTGTTTACTCCCGTATAAATGCGTATTATTGATGATTTTCAGTGTATTAATTAGTCAATATTAGTGATTAGTTTAATGGACGTAAATAGCCAAATGAATATGGAACATTTTGATGAAGATGGTGAGTACACAGAAAATTAATGCATTTTTTAAGAGTTTGATTATATTGAGGTTATGAAATTTTGATATGGTTTTCTATATTATTTTTTACAGTCCCAATATTAATCTTCAATTTATAAAAATTATTTACTGTTTGTTTTATGTGCAGAATCTCTTGACGATAGTGATCTAGATCGTGATTATGTCCCAGAAGATGTACGGACTTCTACATCTGAAGCTGAAGCAGACGTCGGCAACCAGCAGATGAACAGAAGCAGAAAAAGGATCAGAAATGAATCTTCTTGGGCACGGAACAAAGCAAAGAAGTGCAGGAATAGTGGCGGCGAATATATTGATCATAGGAAAGTGTTTAAGGAGTCTAAAAGCGTTCAACAGCTAGCAGGCCATCGATGTCGATATGAATGTAGTAGTTTTTCGGATGAAGATCGTCAACAAATCTTTCAAGACTATTGGAATTTGGGTTCATGGAATCTACAAACGGCATTTTTAAATTCCTCTATGCAAACACTACTACCTGCCAAAAGAAGGGCAGAAGTTGAGCCGCGTAAACAGGTTAGCGTCAAAATAAAACTACAGGGTAAAAGAGTTTGCAAACTATTTGTGTTAAAAACTTTGAACATAAGCCAAAAAAGGTATGACAATGTTTTAAAGAACAGAAAACCTTCAGGTGTAGCTCCAACTGACCAACGTGGTAGACACATCCCAGCAAATAAGATTTCAGAACATGATATTGGAGTAATAAAGGCCCATATTCGGTCATTCCCGAAATATTCAAGCCATTATTCACGAAACAAAAATCCACAGACAAAATATCTCTCAGGCGAACTGAATATTCACAAAATGTATACACTTTTTTGGAGTTTTGC